TTTTTTTTTTTTTTTTTTTTTTTTGTGGTACCAGGGATTGAACTTGGGACCTTGTCCTTGAAAGGCAGGCGGCAGCACCACTGAGCTAAATCCCCAGCCCAGGAATTATTTTTTAAATCATTTGCTTAGATGGGTAGATGGTGTCACTGGCTCACAAGTTTAACTCCTGCACTACTTTGCTGGAGAAAATTATCTGCTGAGCACAGGTACACCTAGAACCAGAGGACACCAACGTGTTACAGACGGAACCTCACATAAATGCTCCCTCAACAGAACCAGCACATACAATGCAGAACACATGTGTGATGTGACATTAAACAAATGAGCAACTGCTTAAAGATCTATACCTGACCACGGTGTTCAATGGAATTGGATTCTTTGCCAGTTTTAAGCTCCAGTGGCATGATTTTATATTTCGATTTACAACCTTGATGTATTTTCACACCAACTGTAACATCTATTTTGCCCTTCATGCCAAACCTAGGGGACCAAATGCTTTCTTCAATATCCAGTGAGCTTACGACTTCAATGTTACATGTTGAATTCTTATTACTACCATCACTTGGCCTACAAAAAAAACAGAGAAACAATTAGGATGCAGCTCACTGCATGTTTGCTCACCTTTGTTATTATGGAGAATCCAAGAATGGGAAAGCCTAGAGACCAGTGCTTCTCAAAGGTACTGAGGCAGCAGCATCAGGGTGGCTTGGGAAATCATGGTGAATGCGAGCTCTCAGCCCCACTGCAACCAGCTCTGGTAGAAACACCAGGGTGAGGCCCAGCCACCGACCAACAAGCCCTCCAAGTGATTCTGATGATGCCTGGTCCCCGGACTCTGACTCATGTAACTTAGTCCTTCTTAATTTATCATCTGCCCCCTTTAGTTCACTCGTACAGTCTTACCTCATGCCTTTCTCTCCAGGTCTACATTAACACAACGGTCTCATTACTTGGCCTGCTGAACCAACAACAGGAACCAGTATACCCTCCTTACACCTCTGCTATGGTCAACATTTAAAATTAAGCACTCAAGTGTTGGCTTTTAGTTATACAAGGTTCTAACTTTCAACTTAATTGAGAACATGAAAAAGAGAAAAAGGAATATAAGAATAGGAGGCGGAGATATCTTTTAAAATTGCTTATACCTCTGTTGTCTAATATTTACTCGCTTTCAGAGAAGAGATTAGTCAGTCAAATGTTAATTCTTATTTATGAATTCTATCTACTGGCAAAATATCTTTAGACTTAAACCCACATAAAATACTAAATCTAATAAAAATCTCAAGCGAAAAGAAATCTTTTAGCAATTAACACATTTTATGTTATCAAAACTGAATTTTAAAAAGAGTAAGAATTCCAGCTGAAGCAAGGCAAGTGGCAAAACCCGTAATTCCAACCTACTCAGGAGGCTGAGGCAGGACTGGGAGGCCAGCGTGGGCAATTAAAACCATGATTCAAAATAAAAAGGCCAGGGGATGTAGCTCAATGGTAAAGCACTTGCCCAGCATGCTCGAGGACCAGGTTTCAACCCCCAGTGTTGCAAAGCAATACACAATTTAGACGAAGTTGATCTGTTAGCTTCATTTAACTAAAGCCAACAGATATTTTGTTAACAAATGAAGGGAAGGAAACACTGTTTTTCCTAATTTTTCTTACAACTTGCTTTAAGATAATTCCAATAAGCCACATGTGGTGGTACACACCATACCCATTAGTGGGAAGTCTAAGGTCAGAAAAGCACTAGGTTCAAACCAGTTTGGGTTACATAATGAGTTTAGCTCAAACTACAGGGTAAGATCTTGTCTTAAAACAACAAAAAAGACGCTTCAAATATAATCACCAGGAAAATTGTATGCTTCTACTAGAGTTATCAAGAATTCAGGGAAGCCACAATTTGTCACAAATTCCTTAACTATTCATCTCTTTTTTTCCTCATCAAATCTTATCTGATTGTGATTTGTACTCTATGCTTTTAAAAAATAAAGCAAGTGGCATTGTGCCTGCTTGGCAAACTCAAGGCCCTGAGTTCAATCCCCAATACCGGAAAATAAATAAATTAATTGACAAAAACAAAGCAAAATTGTTGTTTGTAAAATGTCACATTTCTACCTAATACAAGAAAGATAATTAATCTTAAAAATTACCCCTAGAGGCGGGGCATGGTGGCACATGCCTATAATCCCAGCACTTGGGAGGCTGAGGCAGGAGGATTGCTGAGACCAGCTTGGGCTACATAGTGAGTTCCAGGTCAGTCTCAACTACATAGTGAGACCCTGTCTCAAAAAAAATCTGCCACTAGAAGTAGGCATGGTGGCACACAATTGCAATACTAGAACTTTGGGAGGCTGAGGCAGAAGGATGGTGACTTTGGGGCCTGACTGGGTTACATAAAGAAACCCTGAAGCCAGGTGTGGTGGTGCTCACCTGCAATCCCAGCACACAGGAGGCTGAGGAAGGAGGATCGCCACAAGTTCATGGCTAGCCTGGGCTACATAGCAAGTTCAAGACCATGGGCCTGACAAGCTCAAGGTCCTGATTTTGATCCTAAGTACCAAAAAAAAAAGGGCCAGCCTGAACTACATAATGAGACCCTATTTCCAAAAAAGCAAAAAAACAAACCCAAAATCCTAAGATCATGTCTGAAAAAGAAACAAAAGCCAAGTGTGGTGACCTAACACATTATACAGTCCATACAACAGTGACCCAGAGGAAAAAACATGAAAGTATCAAATGAAAAGTTTAGGGGGTTCAGTAGAAGAGACCTAGGTTCAGTCCCTAGCATGGGTAAAAAAAAATGTAAGGCTCTTCAAAATATTTATAAATGGACTACTGAGGAGGGGCAGTACTGGGGAGTGAACCCAGGCCCTTCACACTGGCATACATCCCTAGACCTTATTTTTATTTTTTTATTTTTTAAGACAGGTCTCCCTAAATCACTAAATTGTCCAGGATGGGCTTTGAACTTGCAATTCTCCTGCCTCAGCCTCCCAGAACTAGGATTACAGGTATATGTACAGGTGCCCAGCTAATTTTTTAAAAATCTATATTCAGCTGGGCAATGGTGGCACATGCCTATAATCCCAGATATTCAGGCAGCTGAGGCAGGAAGATCACAAGTTCAAGGTCACAAGGATCACAAGTTTTGAGGCCCTGTCTCAAAATAAAAAACAAAAAGGGTTGGAGATGCAGTTCAGTGATAAAGCTCCTCTGGGTTTGCTCTCCTATATCACAAAATAAATATGTAAATAAAATTTCTAATAATTTATAAAATGAAATTAATAATAAATTAGAATAATTTCTTATAATGAAAATACAATTTTCAATTCATAATATTCTCATCGAGGTGGCACACACCTGTAATCTCTGCACTCTTGGAAGGCTGAAACAGGAGGATCACTGAGTTCAAGGCCAGCCTGGGCTACATAACAAAATGCTCAAAAAAAAAAAAAATCCCACCAAAAAAGATAGTAAGGACCATAGTTTGTAAGACAAGCAAACAAAAAGGTTAAGTGTCATAGCTCAGACTTTAGAAAGTTTTTTTGTTTGTTTGTTTGTTTTTTGTACCGGGTATCAAACTTGGGCCCTTGCGCTAGTGAGGCAGTCGCCAGAACCACTGAGCTAAATCCCCGGCCCTAGAAAGCTTTCATTCAACATACAGAACAGGCTCCTGGTCTGCAAATATGAACACTATGTAAACAAAATGCATTTCTTACAGGGAAAGCTGTATCTGAGGGAAGTCAGCCGAAGCACTCTTATGCATGAAATCTCCAGCCCACTTGGAAAAGGAAGGAAGATACTCCTCTGCTTCTTGTTTTATTTCATCTTGACTCAGATTTAAGCGGTACCTGGAAAAATAAAGAGATATTAAGTATGAAAGCAGAAATGAGAAACATAAATAAGGACAAACACAACCAAACAGACAAGTCAAGTGACCACCATATTGGCCAGGGATAGCTTTGAACTCCTTGGCTCAAGGGATCCTCCCATCTCAGCTTCCAGAACATCTGAGTCAAACATGAACCACTGCACCAGTTCAGACTAGGACTCTGAGTTTCCAGGACAGTTCATACCGGTTAACACCTCCTAACACCACCACTACTAATTTTAGGCAAGTCTCAGCAAATGTCTGTCCTGAAATTAAGGCAATGAAGGTAGGATTTTCAAACTTGACCTTGTATAGGGCTGGGGATTTAGCTCAGTGGTGCTGGCACCTGCCTTGCAAGCACAAGGTCCTGAGTTCAATCCCCGGTACCCCCCCAAAAAAAAACTTAACCTTTTATATATATGAGAAGGTAAAGCAGGAACAGATCATCCTCTAAACCTCGGGGAAAGAGACTATGAACAAGACTGGAAAAGAACTGAGGACCTGTTGCTTTAGGATTCTCAATAGGACTGGCACTACTTTGGATGTGAAAAAATTATTAGAGAATTTATATTTTCATAATTACAAAACACCCTCTTTTCCTTAATGAATTAGGATATCACGATAAATAACAATGATATAATTTAGTAATAGCCAAGAATTGGTTAATAAATCTCTCTAAAATTGTGATCTTTCATGTCTTGGTTTTTTTCTATTTGTTTGTTTTTTGGTTGAGACAGGGTTTGACTAGGTAGTTCAGGCTGGTCTCAAACTCATGATCTTCCTACCTCAACCTCTCAAAGTGCTAGGATTACAGGCATCTGCCACCATGTCCAACTCAGAACCTGGTTGTTGTTGTTGTTGTTGTTGTTTAGTACCAGGGATCAAACTAAGGCCCTTGCGCTTGCAAGGCAAGCAGTGGAACCACTGAGCTAAATCCCCGGCACCCTGGAACCTGTATTTCTAAAGTTTCCTCTCTTATATACTGGAATGAAAATATCCACTCTCATTTTATATGATCATGAAAGTTGCTTTCTATAGCAGCCCCTTACTCCCTGCTGCCGCTTAGAAACCAGTTAACTTAGAAGTGAGTGGAAAGTTGCCAGGCACAGTGCCACACTTGCAGTACCAGCTACTTGGGAGACTGAGGAGGAAGACTTGAGCTCAGGAGCTTGGAGACCAGCCCGGGCAAAACAGAAGCCCCTCCAATCCCCCCAAAACCAGCTAGTGAAAGCAATACCATGTTGAGGGTTGAGAGAAAATTCATTTCGTCAAGTGCACAGGGTTTTTTCCTGCAGTGCTGGACAGTGAATCCAGTGCCTTGAGTATGCTAAGCAAGCACTATACCACTGAGCTACATGCTCAAACCAAACACACAGGATTTAAGCCATGGATTTCATTAAATCAATTCTGACTGTTTAAAAACCTTTTATTTCATCTATTCTCCCCAAATTGGGCTCTAGACTAACCAAATATCTAAATATCCATGGAAGTTTAAATATATACTAGGGAGGGATGAAAGGGATGTTAGTCAAAGGTTAAAAAACTTCAGATGGATGGGAGGAATAAGCTCAAGAGATGTGTCATACAACACAGTGATTACAGTTAACACTGTGTTGTATTTTCAAAACTGAAAAGAGCAGTCAAAAGTCCTCACCATGGAAACCAAGTATCCGGGCCTGGGGGTGTACCTGTGGTGGAGCACAAACTAAACATGTGCAAATCCCTGGGTTTATCACCAGCACCAAAACAATTTTTTTAAAAAAGCATCTGGGTGTGGTCACACACACCTGTAAGGACAGCACTCTAGTAGGCTGAGGCAGGAGCATGGCAAGTTCAAGCCCAGCCTGGGCAACATGATAATTACTTACATTTCCTTCAAATGTCTTATCTCTTGAACAGTTTGAAAAGCAAGTTCTCTTAGCTTTTCTGGTGCAAAGCTATCACTTATTGCTTTCTGAAATACTTCATGGAGAACTGTGCCAATCAGCATCTGGCGTGTGGCTTGATCGGAGCTCTATCAAAAAAAAAAAAAATCATACAGAGAAAGGTCCCAAGTTCAATCCCCAGGGCCGGAAAAAAATCATACAAACATTTTATTTCACAACATATAAACATATGATTGCATATTGTATGACCACTATGTAGTCAATGTGTACTAATAAATGTCAAGATATTAATGTTTTTCTGGTAGGTGGAAATATAGGTGAATTTCACTTTTTTCCACTCAGAATTATCTCAATTTTTAAACAAATCTAAGTTATTTTTAAAATCAGTGTATTTCCATTTTGAAAAGATTTTTTAAAAATAGGGAAACCAGCTGGGCATGGTGGTGCATGCCTGTAATCCCAGCCCTTGGGAGGCTGAGGCAGGAGGATCCACTGTGAGTTCGAGACTATTTATAAAGTCCACCAAAATATCCATCAGGAATTTTCACAATTACTTTACGAAAGAACGCTCTGTATTATTTTTACAAGTTCTATGTGAGCTCAAATTCAAAAGAAAAACTTAAAAAAAAAAAAATTACAGGCCAGAGCCAGGAGTTGTGGTGCATACCTGTAACTTCGGCACTTGGGAGGCTAAGAAAGGATACCAAGTGTGAGGCCAGGCTGAACTACTCAGAGTTCAAGGCTGGCCTTAACTACACAGGAAACCCTGTCAAAAATAATAAAAAAATAAAAATGAAGTAAAATGCCTGGTGTGGAAGCACAAAACTCTAACTCCAGATACTTGGAAGACTGAGGCAGGATAATTTGTGTTAGGAATCTTCTGCCTATTAGTTTGAATCATGGGGTAATATTCACTTCTCTTATAATCACATAGTACAAAGCAGACCCAAATGCTAATGAAGGAGAGAGGGCACTGAGCCACATCTCCAGCCCTTTTTATTTTTGGTTTTCAGACAGACAATTGCTGGTTCAATTCCAGCTTAGACTCTACTAGGTATTTTTCTTACTATTCTAGAGTTCTACTCTTCTACATACACATAGATTAACTATATAATTTCTGAGCATGGCGTGGTGGCAAATGCCTGTAATCCCAGCACTCAGGAGGCTGAGGCAGGAGGATCACTACCAAGTTTGAGGCTAGCCTGGGCTATATAGTGAGTTCAAGACCAGACTAGAGGGCCGGGGATTTAGCTCAGTGGTTCGGTGGCCTGCCTTGCAAGCACAAGGACCTAAGTTCAATCCTCAGTACCAAAAAAAAAAAAAAAAACAAAAAAAAAAAAACAACAAACAAACAAAAGACCAGACTAGAATATACATTGAGACCCTGTTTCAAAAACAAAAAAATTGGGCTGGGACTTAGCTCAGTGGTTCTTCCTCCTGCATCACAAGTGCATGGACCCAAATTTGATCCCTGGTACCAAAAAAAATAAAACAAAAATGATAAAATATTAATAAATTTAAGGCAGTACTATCAATTTTATTAAGTACAACAAATATATTTAAGTTGCTAAAAAAAAGTTCAGCTGCCATTAACTTACAAAGTAACAGAATATTTGGGAATAGACTTGGTTTTTACAGCTGAGGGTTTGGCACATAAGGGTCTATTATAATTATCTTTGTACATGTTCAAAATAGTCCATAACTTTTTTAAGATAGGGCCTTGCTATACAACCTGGACTAACCTCAAACTTCAAGCTTTGTGGGCTGGGGATTTAGCCCAGTGGTTCCACTGCCTGCCTCACAAGCACAAGGTCCTGAGTTCAATCCCTGGTACCAAAAAAAAACCTTCCAGCTATCTTCCTAACTTTGCCCCCAAGTACTGAGACCACAGGTGTGTTCGACCATACCCAATACTTTTTGAAAACAGACCTTTTTTTTTTGGCTGACATGATGGCACACACCTACAATTCCAGCACTTGGGAGGCTGAGGCAGAAGGATCACTGCAATTTGAGGCCAGCCCGGGCTACATAGTGATTTCAAGGCCAACTTGAACTATATATCTATGGAGACTTTGTCTCAAAAAACAAAACAAAAAAGAGTTTAAGAAAATACTTTCTTATTTATTTCCAATTTATTGAGAATCACACAAAGCCAAGTTTGGAAATGCCTAGGCATGTTACGGTAAAAATTTTTGTTTTGTTTTGTTTTGTTTTTTTGAGACAGGGTCTCACTATGTAGTTGAGGCTGACCTGGAACTCACTATGTAGCCCAGGCTGGTCTCGAACTCCCAGCGATCCTACTGCCTCAGCCTCCCAAGTGCTGTAATTTTTTTTTTTTTTTCCTTGAGACAAGTTCTCATTAAGTTACCCAGGCTTGACTCAAATTTTAAATCCTCCTGCCTTACCCTTTCAGAGTGCTCAGTTTACAGATGTGCACCACTATGTCTGTTTTAAATTAAAATTTTTATCATTTAGTGATTGGCCATGTAGCTCAACCGGTACAGTGTTTGTCTAACATTCTCAAGGCTTTTGGTTTGATTCCCAGCACTACAAAAGAAAAAAGGGCTCTATAATCTAAGAAGCTGTATAAACATTAGTTAGAATTCTTTACCCTAAAAGTTTCACTTAGAACAGCTCTTCTCATACACCGAATACTACTGGCTATACTTGTACCAGAAATCAGCATGTCTGGATATAGGATCAAAAATCCAAAATCTTTATCTATTATCCAAGTATCAGATGAGCAGTCTCCTTCCAAATGAATGATGTCCCCTGGCTGTACGGGTACAGAGCACCTGAAAATATACAGCAGAGTTAAAACAGAAATGCAGTTTAGACATCCACATTTAAATATATCAATGATGCTTCAAAAAAATAACCAATTATCTTATCTGAGAAAGAAGTATTTCTCAACAGGTGTGGTGGCATGTGCCTATAATTCTATCACTCTAGGAGGCTGAGGCAGGGGGATCCCAAGTTCTACATGGGCAACTAAGTGACTTAGCAGGATTTGGTCTCAATATAACATATAAAAAGGATGTAGCTCAGTGCCAAGGTCCTGGGTTCAATTGAAAGAAGGAAGGAGGGGAAAAGGAAGGAGGGAGGGGAAAGAAGTGGGGGAGAGAAAAAGAGGATAATGGAAAAGGGGAAAAGGGGGAAGGGAAGGAAAAGAGAGATAACGTCATTTCTGGATCTTTTTAAAACTAAGAGAATGCAGTCTTGGGCCGGGGATTTCGCTTAGCGGTTTCACTGCCTGTCTCACAAGCACAAGGACCCAAGTTCGATCCCCACACCAAAAAAAAAAAAAAAAAAAAAAAAAAAAGAGAGAGAGAGAGAATGTAGTCTTTACCTCTTTGTACCTGCAACACATCTGAGAATACTCAATGATCTTCCTAGAGGTAAACAGCTTAATAATGTCTAACAAATGTCTAGCAAAACTATCAAACCACTGCCAATGTAACACATAGCTCCAATTATGAATTGGGTTGTTTAAATAATCCTCTCCTTAAGACTTACAGCATATCTACAGCTTTAAGTCTTGAGACATGAAGCCAACCCAGAGTAGCAAGAGTGAAATCTTTTTACCTAGTTCAAACTGATTTGTGGTCCACATTTCAAAAAAGCAAAAGGTACAGCAAATACTCTAAAACCCAAGAAAGTCCAAAACATAAAATACTTCTAGTCCCAAGCACTTTAGATAAAGGACACTCAATCTATACATGACTTTCAAATGACAGTAAAAAACAATTTTGGAACAAGAGACTGAGATGCTGGGGTAATAGACACAATTTTCATATAGGATTAAGCAAGGCTCAAATCTGTAGCATGGTTAAAAAAAAATTACAGCAACATCCACATAATTATCTGAAGGCATTTAAGACAGTATCCTGCATCAGCCGGGCACAGTGGCACACACCTGTAAGCCTAGTATTTGGGAGCCTGAAGAAGGAGGGTTGAGAGTTTGAGTCCTACCTGGGCAACTTAGCAAAGCCTTGTCTCAATATACAAAAGAAAACTGGACTGGGATGTTGCTCAGGAGTAGTGTGCCCTGCATCTGATTCCCAACTTGAGAGAGAGACCAGACAGGCAGACAATGAACCCTGAGGCTCTAGACATAGCATGGGCAAGGGAGGGGGCTACCAAAACAGCGACTCAAAGTCACACAAGACTTACCAGTCATTCCTGAGAATACACTGTTCTTTACATTCTAGAGACCGGGATGCAGTGATGATTAGGTGCTTTTCGTAGCTTCCTTTGTTCTGCACAATGTCAACTGCTAACACCAGGTAGCGGTTATCCATTCCTCGGCTCAGAATTGTTTTGGGAAAGGAAGCTTCCACTGACTTCTGAAATCTTAAGCATAAACATACAAAATTATTTTAGTCCAACCATTAAAATAAGTCATTTAAGGGCCAGGGATTTAGCTCAGTGGCACCTTACCTGCCTTGCAAGCACAAGGTCTTGAGTTAAAAAAAAAAAAGTCATTTAATGTATTTATCTGAAAACCAACTTCCTGCTTTTCCATGTGGAAAGCTTATTACAGTGACCTTTAGCTAAATTAGGTAAAACTGAGAAAAGGCAGAGGGGAAGAATGCCTGGTAAAAAAAACTTCCCAGAAGCAATGCTACTTAAAACCTGACTGGACCAGGGATTAAACTCAGTAGTGCTGCTGCCTGCCTCGTAAGCAAGGCCCTTAGTTCGATCAATGATCCAAAAAAAAAAAAAAAACTGATTAAAGGGGCCAAGGAAACTTAGCGTAAGTGTAGAGGGTTGGTTATGTTGTGAAAGAGTACCTTGGGTCAGTCGCCCCAAGGTCTACATTTACATTAGAATAGCATACTTGGAAATCATTTTGTTCAATACTGCAGGAATTCCTATAAAAACCTCAATAGGAATAACTAGCCTCTGCTTTTTTTTTTTTGGTACTGGGAATCAAACTCAGGACCTTGCGATTGCCAGGCAGGTGAGGTGCCACTGAGCTAAATCCCTGGTCCTCAGCCTCTGCTTTTTACAGAAAGCAGGCTGGATACCTATCATCAGAGTAGCTCATTCTTCTCTATGGGGTCATGCAGAAGCGTCTTGTTTGTACTTATAACGGGTGAGTCATTTAACAATACTTTTATCCAGTAGTCCAAGCCACCTGAAACCCATGCAAAATCTAAAAGATGATCTCCTGCTAAGCTTTTCCTGAAAATCTTAAACAGTGAGAGACCAAAGGTCAGTCCAAAGTCACTCCAACTCTATCATCGAACACCTTTCGCTTCGCTCCCTAAATCACCCTGGTCACTCCACTGCTCCTTCTATTATTTTATAAATGTTTTCCTCAACTTCCCCAGGTGGCCTCAGGCCTCAATCCTCAGGCCACCGATTTCCTAGCAGCTGCGTCGCCTACAGGATCTCTCAAGGGTCTTTCCCAGCAGCAATAAAGCCCCAGATGTAGACGTCCCTTGACGCTGAAGAGCATTGTAGCTGTTACTACCGAACACAATTCCACATCACGATGGTAGTGCACGTTCTCCTTGGGATGACTACCTCCAGCAGCACAAAGAAAAGCTTCAGGCACTTGCGATTTCCTCTGAGGCGGAGATTGCGAATGGCCGAGACACCCCAAAGTCGGGAAAAAACGCACTGGCGGCACGTGGCCTCAGCTCAGACTCGGCGCCCCCGCCCGAGGCGCTCTGCGCTCTGTCCCCGCCGCTCCCGCGCCTTCCTTTCAAATCTCCCGCTTGGTCTCCACTCCCGTCCCGCCCTGCTCACGGCTCTGCCGGCGGCGCAGCCTCCTCTTCGAAACTCTCATCCATCAGCAGCTCCAGTTCGTCCAGCTGCTCCATCCCGGGCTGGGAGACGGCAAACCGTGGCCAGGTAAAACCCAGAGAAAGAGAATCAGGCTGGGAACCTCTAGCCGGGAAAGAGAAGCACGAGCCAGAGTAGCGCCGTACGCATGCGCAGACGCCCGGACCCACGTGACCTGCCCAGGGCCGCGCCCCTCCGAGCGCCACAGCCCGGAAGCGCAGCTTCCACTTGGACCGCGCAGGCCCAGACGGGACCCGCCCCCCCCAAGCCCTCACTGGACCCTCCAGCCCAATTTTGTATTTCTGCCGGGGGATTTGGCACAGTGGTTCCGGGGCCTGCCTCTGCAAGCTCAAGGACCTGAGTTCGATCCCCAATACCAAAAAAAAAAAAAAGAGTCTCATGGGTACAGAAATTTTGCATTCCCTAGGAAACAATCTCTTCTTTATTTATTTATTTGGGAGGGGGACAGGGTATCACTGTGTAGTTGAGACTGACCTGGAACTCACTATGTATGTAGCCCAGGCTGGTCTCGAACTCACAGCCTCAGCCTCTCCGGTGCCGGACTGCAGGCGTGCCCCACTACTCCCGACTGGAACCAATCTCTTCTTTAAAAAGCAGGGCGTGGCGGTGCACACCTGTAATTCCAGCACCTACGAGGCGGAAGCAGTTACGCCTCAACTAAATCCACAAAACTACCAATATCAATCCATTTTATAACCTCTTTCTGTTTCCTCTTTTCGAAACAGCAAGGTGTTCCTGCTACCGATGGGCAATCCCTCCACCTGCAGGCAGGATCCCAAGGCACCGGGCATTCTCAAGGCGGTGCCACTTCGTTCATCCTGTCATTCTCTTCTGTCTGTGTCACCCTCGCGTCATTGGATGGCTCCAATAGGGCCGAATGATTCCTGTCTTGAAAAGATGTCATTTGGGCGGGACGTAGTCCATCTCTCAGCCATCCTCTACAGCAAGCTTCTTACAGGGACTGCGGACGGAATTCCTCCTGCCGTTCTGCTTCTGTAATGCATTCCTTTTTCTCATTACACTGTAAGGGAAAATTTCAAGTGTACCGAAAATTTAGAAGAACTATCTAATAAACACCCATTTGGCCATCATGTAGATTTTACAGTTAACATTGGGGCCTTTGCTTTGTCACATGCTGGACCCGGATTTAGCTCAGTGGTGCCGACACCTGCCTTGCAAACGCAAAGTCCTGAGTTTAAAAAGGTGGTGGGGGGAGCAAATTCGAGTTTTTCTTCATGCATTTCAAAAGAGCAAGCATCATTACATTTCACACATGAATATTATTAACGACAATTCAACATTTAGTATGGCCCTCTCCAATTTTTTTTCTCCCCAATTTTTTATGTAACATTTTGGGGTTCACATGAGCCAATATTTATTTCTAAAAATACTGAGACTGATAAATAATACTCTCCAGAATTTAGACTCTTCTTCAGCTTTAGTATGTTTCTAATATTTAAAAATAAATGGATCTAAAGTGCAAGGACCCGAGTTCAATCCCTGGTACCAAAAAAATAAATAAATAATTTTTTTTAAAAAATGGATCTAGGGCCAGGGATTTAGCTCAGTGATTCTGCTGCCCTCCTTGCGAGGGCAAGGACCCAAGTTCAATCCCCGGTACCCCCCCCCAAAAAAAGAATGGGTCTAAAGGGGTAGGGGAAAGGAAAGAAGGGAAAGGAAAAAATACAAGAAAAGGAAAAAGTGGAAACAAAATCTGTAAATAGGGAGGGGTGGAGGAGTTGAAAGGAGGGCAGGGAAATGGGGTAAAAGTAACAGATACATCATGTAAAGGTACAAGTTACCAATGATGAAAGTAACTGTATTGTACACCTAAAATGTACCAATAAACTTAATGAAAAAAATGGATACTTCAGCTGTTTCAAATGTAACTATTCTAATTTTTAAATATTAAAAAAGCATTTCAAGGATAATCTAAAAGAATTATTGTCAATTAGATAATGCTGGTGCTGTCCCAAACTTAAGTTGAGACTTTGGTTTGGATTCTGTGGCCTTTGGCCAAGCATTCTCACTCCCTGACTTTCTGTTTTGTTTTGTTGTTGTTGTTTTTGTTTGTTTGTTTTTTGAGACAGGGTCTCACTATGTAGTTGATACTGCCCTGGAACTCACTAAGTAGCCCAGGCTGGTCTTGAACTCACAGCAATCCTCCTGCCTCAGCCTCCCGAGTTCTGGGATTACAGGCATCTGCTACCACATCCAGCTTCTCCCTGACTTTCTTCAGAGGACTTTGCAGTGGTGGCCTGACCCTAACTCCAGGCAGTGCTGTGTCTGCTAACTGTGCCTTCTTCTAAAACAAGGGCCCCAGCTCCGGGGATTTAGCTTAGTGGTTCGGTGGCCTGCCTCGCAAGCACAAGGACCAGAGTTCGATCCCCCAGTACCAAAAAAAAACCAAAGTAAAACAAGGGCCCCAGACTTCAGTCCCACCAGGGCTGAGTGTCTCCATTCCTCTACTGATGACACGTGGGGCGCTCCTCCTCCAGCCACCTTTGTACTGGCTGCCACAGTCTGCATCAGGGTGAGGAACCCTCATCTTCTTTCCTAGGAGCAAATCAAAGATCTTGTAGATGAAGTTCCAAAATCCCATCATTACTGCAGCTCTGTGTATCAAGACTGCTGCCCCCTGGAATGTTTTCTACTTCTCTCCTGGAGGGGGATCTTGGAGAAGAGTTGGTCAGAGAGGGACCTGGCAGAACTCTAGAACTGGCATGCAGCAGGATCTGGGTGAATTTTCTGCACATGTTTTACATGCAAGCTCAGCGTCTCCTCCAGGGAGTCGTACCAGATGGAGCCATTGAAGACCCCATTCCACAAGGGCCCTGACCAGTCACAAATACAGCTGCTGTGATTCACCTCCAACCAACTGTCCACTCTTCTGCACACACTGCCCCAAGAAACTATCAGGCATTTATTTGCTGATGGCATGGGATGGAAAAGCATGACTTCTTTTTTTATGACATTTTAAATGTACATAAATAAATACACAAATCTTTTGTGCACTCTTTGATGAATTTTGACAAATGCATGTGAGTAAACGAAGCCTCTATAAAGTGACTGTAATCCCAGCACTATGGAAAGCTGAGGCAGGAGGATCTCAAATTTAACCCCAGATGAAGCAGTTTTTTAAAATAAAAAAGTATCTCTGTGGTGATGCCTGCAAGTAATGCCAGCACTTGAGAGACTGAGGCAGGAGGATTGCTGCAAGTTTGAGGCCAGCCAGGCTACATGGTGAGTTCAAGGCCAGCCTGAGCTATACAAGGGACCCCTTGCCTAAATAAATAAATGGGCTGGGTATGTTATCAGCCCAGATAGTTCTCTCATGTCCCCAGCCAGCCAGCCCCCATCCCCAAACCCAATCATATAGTATGTAGTACAGTGTCAGAATTCTTGTGTCCAGTATGTGTTTGAGGTTATCCATTTTATTACGCGAGTGGCAATATTCCTTTGTGAGTTATATCTTTTTTTTTTTTTTTTTTTTTTTTTTTTTTTGGGGTTGCATTTATGTTATTTTTTTTTTTTTTTTTTTTTTTTTGTACTGGGGATCGAACTTGGGTCCTTGTGCTTTTGAGGCAGGCAGCAGAACCACTGAGCTACATCCCCAGCCCTTGTATGTCCTTTCTTTCTTTATTTAGTTTTTTGGCTTTTTGAGACAGGGTCTCACTATGTAGTTGAGACTGACCTGGAACTCACTATGTAGCCCAGGCTGGTCTTGAACTCACAGTGATCCTCCTGCCTCAGCCTCCCGAGTGCTGGGATTATAGGCCAGTGCCACCACACCCGGCTGTGTGTGTCCTTTCTTATTGCTATTATTTCTATAGTATTTGTGGTTTTTTATTTTGTTTTTGTTTTTGGTACTGGGGATTGAACTCTGGACCTTGTGCTTGAGAAGGAGGAAGCGGAACCACTGAGCTAAATTCCTGGCCCAGTATTGTATATCTTGAATAAAATTGCTACAAATATTCTTGCACCAATATTTTATAGATATGCTTTTAATTTCATGTGCAATTTATTCACTCAAAAGCCTGGCTAGTTTTGTTTGGAAACTACTATCTCCTTGAGAAAGGTGGAAAAAGCCAAACATGTTCTCAAAAAATTTCAACTTGGCAGGACTTTTTGGGGTACTGGAGACTAAGGCCAAGGCCAGAAGCTATACTCCTACCTTTTAATTGACCTGTCTATGCCCAGTGCCTTCCTAAATTCCTTATAGAGCACCTAGCTAGTGAGTGGCCCACTGTCACTGGTTAAGGTATCTGGGGTTACAAAAGAGTTTGACTAATTCTCAGGTGATCCCAGTCTTTCATATTGGAATAGCAGACTTTTCAGTTTATATGGCTGTTTTGTTTTTTTAAAGGAGACAAATGCCATGCGTGGTGGTGCAAGCCTGTAGTACCATTCTGAGGCTGAGGCAGAAGGACAACACCTCGAGCCCAGCATGAGTAGCTCAGTGAGACCCTGAAGCAGTTCTCTTTTGTCTTTAGTTGTGCTGTGTTGGCTACCTTGATCATCTGAATCTATTAAAAATGTTTACCTGTCGTGGTCATTTTGACTTTGGGGAAGAACAAGAATTTGCAGTGTCAGATCCAGTAAGTAAGGTACATGACCATGTTTTTTTGTCTGTTTGGGTTTTTTTTTTGGTACCAGGGATCGAACTCTGGTCCTTGTGCTTTCAGGCAGGCAGCGAAACCACTGAGCTAAATCCCCAGCCCAACAACCATGTTTTTAACAGAAATTGCTACATCATATGATGATGACATGGATCGTCATAATGATAGAGGATAAAACCGTTTGCCCATTTCTCAGGCTGTCTTCTGCACACATCATTTCGTAAATGTTCTAATAAGCTCTTGTTATATTCAAGATTCCTTTTTACAAACTCAAAACCCACAATCCCATCAAGGTCAAAAAGCACAGTATCATCTTGATGTTGGATCTTTCGTTTTTTGTTTTGTTTTGTCTTGTTTTTGTACCGGAGATCAGACTCAGGACCTTGAGCTTGCAAGGCAGGCACAGCACCACTGAGCTAATCCCCAGCCTTATGTTAGATCTTGACTGACGCACTTTCTCACACAAAGCCATCTGTGTGATTTCACTGAGAACTCGGAACCTTGGTCTCAACGTCATAATCACAGGCCCAAGTTTCCGTTCCCTGATGACATTTACAAAATACTGGCATCTGAAGTGGCAGAGTGCACAGCTCCAAAGAGAATTACAAAAGGATGTTGCTCTTGGTCGGAAGTCAATACGAACAAATCTGATACTCTACTCATATTCAAATCTGTTAGAATACTTTGAATGGAACAGGCCTTCAGATCCTCTGAAATATCCCTGACAGTCATTCTATTGATCCAATCATTTTATTCATTCTTTCTATCTTTTGGGGGGTTTTTGATGTTGACCTACACTCATTTTTGTCTTCGACTGATTCACAGCCATTATGAAGTTGTTCAAGCCACTCGGAAACTGTCTCTATGGTGGCTGCACCATCACCACAGACTAATTTTAACATCTCATGTGTTTCTTTAGCAGCTTTTTGCGGTTTGAAACAGAATTCCACATTAATTCGTTGCTCGCGATCCTATTTGCAGCAGAGTGGAAAACATCTCTCAACCTGGGGCTCACTGAACAAGTTAAAAACTTGTCACTCTGTTTCTAAGTGTCCACAAGCTACTTCTTGTATTGAGGATCTCTCCCTTTCCCTTGGACAGGATTAAGCAGCAGCACTCACTGTATTTTTTAACACATCTCATAGGTGAATGGCCAAATCCAGTGTCGCTTTTATTTCTCTAGGGTAAATACTTGGAATAAAATTTCTGGGTCATGTTGAGATTTATGGTTATTTTTATGAGAAATGACTAGATCTTTATCCAAAGTGACTGTAACATTTCATGCTACCACCAACAATGCCTGATAATTCCAGCTTCTATGTAGCCTTGACAATACTTCTTTCTTTGAGTCTTTTTAGTTGTAATTTACATTTCCCAATCACTAATGATACTGGGGATCTCATCATGCCCTTAGACATTTGTGTGTCTTCCTTGGTAAACTGTGTAAATCTTTTGCCCATTTTAAAAATACTGAATTGTTCTAATTGTTCTTTTATTACTGAGTGGCAATAATTCTTTGTAACTACGGGTAGAAGCCTTTGTCAGATATCTGTTTTGCAAATATTTTTTCCCAGTGTATGGCTCATCGACCCTTCCCAACTGTTTAGAAGTCCAGGCAGGGTGCGCATACCTGCAATCCCGGCACAGAGGCAGGAGGATCACAAGTTCAAGGCCAGCCTGTGCTGCAATAAAGCCATCTTCAAAAAGGAAGGAAAGGCCACGACTGGTAGACTCCTACATGATCTGGCCTCTATTTCTCCCACCCCATCTGCTGCTTCTCTCTAACTCACAATGCTTCAGCCTTCTAACAACTGCTGTGGCAAACCACACTTCCCATCTCAGAGTTTTGGGACCTGCTGTTCTCATCACCCACAAATCTTTGCATGGCTAGCCGGGAGTTGTGGTGCACACCTGTAGTCCCAGCACTTGGGAGGCTGAGGAAAGAGGACGTCTATGAGTTCCAGGCCAGCCCAGGCTACATAATTCAAGCCCAGCCTGAACTATATAGTGAGACCCTGTCTCAAAAAAATAAGATAAAACAAAACAAAAAAATCTTTCCATGGCTGCTTGCTTTTATTCTCCATATGTCAGCTCACAGCACACCCAGAAAATGTAGATAAATGAGGCAGTTACCATAAGTGTGCATCAAGGAAATACCTGGTGGGCTGGGGATTTAGCTCAGCAGTTCCACCGCCTGCCTTGCAAGTGCAAGAACCCAAGTTCGATCCTCGGTACCAAAAAATAAAAGTTAATACCTGGTGTTAGACACTACTGGGAACCTACATCAGATAGCATATATAGTTAATCATCCAAGTTGCCTATAATTCTAATATAATCCCAGGTGTACAATACAACAAATAAATGGAGTTCAGTACCCTGGAGGAAAAGCAAGATTTTTTTTTAAATTCTGGGAATTGAACCTAGTACCTTTACATTGAGCTATATCCCCAACCTTATTTATACTTTTTATTTTGAGACCCAGTCTTGCTATAACCCTAATGGGCATGAACCTGGGATCATTCTGACTCAGCCTCCCAGAGTTGCGGACATTATAAGTCTGTGTGTGTGTGTGTGTGTGTGTGTGTGTGTGTGTGTGGAGACATCCCTACCCAGTACTAGCAGGCTATGAGTGGCACATGCTTCCTGCCTTCCCTAATTCAGCTATACTGCTTTATATCAGGAGTCAGACCAAAGCCCTGCTTGACTCAAATGGACATGTCAGCTAGCAGAGTTGGGCTAATATTGCTCCTTTACAAATGGCTGTCACTGAGGGCTAAATCCTGGTCTGTGAAGTGGCAGGGCTCTGCTGAGTTATATGCAGCTGAGGTCAGCATTTATAACCAATTATAATCCTTTCCCCTGAATTAATGCTTCTCACTGACCTTGTGGGTTACTTGCTAATTGCACCTGGACCTAGTACTGGTTTCTTCTGTCCTAGCAAAAATAAGTAGGGAGGGCCTACTCCTGGACAGCTTTGTTGGGGGCTGTCATGCCAGGTGTTCGGCATTAATTCACTAGATGACTTCAAAACATTACCCTACTCTCTATCTCTTCCCACAATTGTATTCAATAAATACTGGATGTGCTTGGAGGCCTTTGTCTTTGCTATTACCTTATTCATCAACCCTCAAACCAAGACACCATTGCATTTGACAAACCATAGGGCTGAACAGACTGGAAGGCAGGAAAAGAGGAACAATGAAGATTAAAAAAAAAATTGGCAATCTTCACAGGGAAAATAATCTGGCAATACATGTGTGTGTGTGTGTGTGTGTGTGTGTGTGTGTGTGTGTGTGTGTGCGTGTGTGTGTTAGGCAGGATTGGACCCAGAGCCTCATGCGTGCTAGGCAAACATCCTACCACTAAACTACGTCCTTGGCTCTTTTTTATCTGTATTTTGACCTGGTTCTCACTAAGTGGCCTGGTTTGGCCTGCAATTTGTGATCCTCCTGCCCCTGCCTCCCAAATGGCAGAAATTACAACAGGTGTATACCACCACACCCAGCACAAAATGTACTTTGAGTTACCTATCTGAAATAAATCAAATACAAATACTATCATTATTTTATTATTTAAATGTTTTCCATCTTTGCTTTGATAATATAGTTAAAAGAAAAAAATTGTCAAAATAAGGATAGTTTATTTTTAATAACCTGTGCACATTCACAGACATAGAATGCAAATTTTTATTGAAAAAATATTTGTCATTCCCTTTTACTGATAATATAACTAAGATTTTTATTTTATACATTTACATTATTTTAAGACTCAGTGACAATAGTTAGCTACAGTGTGGACCAGAAATGAAAATATACAAAATAGTTTTAGAAACACATGTATTCCTACCTGCCGGTACAGTTTTAAAAAATCACATTAAGATACATATTTATTTTTAAAATAAAGACTGAAAATGAAACCAGCTCATCCAATTTTTACATGGATATGACAAGACAGCTTTTACACACACAAAAAAAAAATTGATGCAGAAATAACACTTTCAAGTTAGGTTTCTGGTATCATAAAGATCACATTAATTCTACAAATCACTATTTGAATTTTCACTGTTCTCTTCCCGTTTCTGTCATGCTGACAATAAACTACAAAAAGTGCTCTAAACACAAGAAGTAGAATTCTTACATTTTAAACAATTTTCTTAATATAAAGAATAGCAATCAAATCATATTTTATTTTTCTCCCTAAATTTATATTGTACTAAAATGACTTTACATGGAAGACCTAGTTGATATATCATGACATAACATCTTAGAAACATCCTTTGATACTCACATCTACATTAACGGATATTTCACAGTTCACTTTCAGTCTTCTAGTATATACCAAACCATCCAACAAAACATAACTGTGGCACTACTCTGTTTTTGAGAACAGAGATACTACTCTGTATTAGAAGTGCCTGTGAGAAATATATGGACTTTGAATACACTTTAAATCCATTTTTTTAATTTAAAAATGAAGGAAAAGCATTTCTCCTTTTACCCGGTCAAGCAAAATTATACAAAGAAAAATAAAGAACTTAAAAATTCTGTTCTCATCATTCTGCTTCAATTTATCCAAGCCTGCATATCTTAATAACGAAAAATGTCAAGAGTTTTTACAAAATCATGATTTCAGACTTGGGTGAACTCAGTAGAAAGAGTGCATGCTTAGCATGTTCAAGGCCCTGCATTTGGGTCTTGAAACAGCACAAAAAAAGAAAAAGAAAAAAATCATGATTACAATTAAAAGCTTAAAACAGTGTAATAAAGTTAATGGCAATCTCTTGGACCCCATTACGGTTATAAACACTGCACTACCAAATAATACTTTTAAACAGTTTCAAATAACCTAACTGATTAGCCAGCATCAGCTTAGGAGTTTTTTTTTTCAGTGTTCTAAGATATAATGATTGGCATCAAAAAGTCAGTTAAGCACTTTGTTTTGTGACTAAAAAATAAATCAAGTATTAAAATACCAGTGGTTCCTGTGCTAGGGTAAATAACCCCCATCAAGTAATGCTTCTCCTGCACTTAATTTTTCCTTCTAAGAGTTTATGCAGGAAAAGAAACCACAAGGAATATATTTTTTTTTAGTTTAGGTGAAAAAATTGCTTCATGAGTTCATACGTTGTAAAAGCCACGGCTTGAGAAGGAATGCAGCGAATGTAATTGAGAGATAAACCACGGTACAGCCCCTTCCGGATCCCATGGTGCCCGTAGACATACTTCATAGTATCCCGCATAGTACTGCAAGACAACAGGGACAGGTGATGCTCCGTGCCAAGCAAGGAGCCCAGCATTGCAAAATAGCTTTTAGGGGCCTGTGATTTAGCTCAGTGGTTCTGCCACCCGCCTTGCAAGTGCAAGGTACTGAGTTCAATCCCCGGTACCAAAAAAAAAAAAAAAAAAAAAAAAAAAAAATTTAAAAAAAAAATTAAATATTTTTTTTAAAGGCGCTTACCCCACTATGAATGTAATCATTATGTACTGGAAACACATACTAATAAAAATTTAAATTTTGGCCGTGTGTGGCATTATGCACCTGTAATCCCAGAACTCAAGAGGTAAGAAGATCACCTCAAGTTCGAGGCCAGCCTGGGGTCCATAATCGAGTTCAAGGCCACAGTGAGACCCTGTCTCAAAAAAACAAAGCAACAACAATAACAACAACAACAAAAAGTATAAACATCAAAAATATTCCCTAGCCAGGCATGATAGCACATGCCTGTAATCCCAGCACACAGGAGGCTGAGGCAGGAGGATCACTATGAGTTCGAGACCAGCCTGGGCTACACAGTGAGTTCCAGGTCAGTCTCAACTACCTAGTGAGACCGTCTCAAAAAAGAAAAACAAACCCCCCCCCACAACAAAACAAAATATATAAGTATGTGTTTTATATAAAATGCAATATAAAAATGTAAAATGTTGAAATATTTTAGAAATATTAAGCAAATAAAAAATGTTTAAAACAATTTTATTGTTACTTTTTTTTGTTTTTTTTGAGACAGGGTCTCACTATGTAGTTGAGACTGACCTGGAACTCACTATGTAGCTCAGGCTGGTCTTGAACTCAGCGATCCTCCTGCCTCAGCCTCCTGAGTGCTGGGATTACAGGCGTGAGCCACCACTCCCAGCCTATTGTTTCTTTTTATTCCTTATAGAAATGTGACTATCAGAAAATTTTACTTTATCTTATTTTGGGTTTTTTTTGAAGACAGGGTCTCACAATGTAGTTCAGGTTGGCCTTAATCCACTATGTATCCCAGGCTGGCCTAGATCTTGAACTTGCTGTGATCCTCTTGACTCAAACTCCCAAGTGCTAGGATTACAGTGTGTGCCACGGCACCTTGCTAAAATAGTTTTGAAAAAGAGAATTGGGACCTAATGGAAGCCTTCTAAGGTTAACACAGTGTACTGTGGGAGGTAATATGAAAGAGAAAAACTACTGCTGAGAGGGCCAGGGATCTAGCTCAGTGGTCCCGTTGCCTGCCTCACAATCACAAGGTCCTGAGTTCCATCCCTGGTACCAAAAAAACAAAAAACAAAAACTACTGATGAGACCAAAGTCCTGTCTTCCTACTGACTTTTTTTTTTTGGTATCGGGGATTGAACTCGGGTTGTTGTGCTTGCGAGGCAGGCAGCAGAACCACTGAGCTAAATCCCCAGCCCTCTTTGTATTGAGTTTAAACATTACATTTCCCCCCCAAAATTAACAATGACATATGGAGAACTTACAGGCACTTTTCAAATTCTGGCAGAACAGTTCCTAATTGCATTCGCCGACGCGTTACATCAAATGGGTAGCTAGAAGAAAAAAAGGCACAAAGACTTAAAAAATAATTTTCATTTTCTATTCAGCCCCCAGTATATGGAAAGTCCCATATATACCAGGAACTAATATGTCCCTATGCTCTTACTGATTTGTCTAATCTAGGAACTAGGATATAAGCACATGAATAAAATCAATAAATCAGCCAGACCTGTGGTGCACACCTATAATCCCAGCACTCAGGAGGCTAAGGTAGGAGGACTGCCAGGAGCTCAAGGCCAGCCTGAACTAGCAAGACCTTGACTCAATAAACAAAAAACAAACAAACCACCAAAATCAATGAATGGTACAGGCTCTCCTCCCCTCTCTCTGAAGAGTCTTCTATCCCATCACAGTATCACATTCTTTTTTTTTTTTTGTACCAGGGATCGAACTCAGGACCTTGTACTTGCAAGGTAGGTGGTGAAACCACTGAGCTAAATCCCCAGCCCAACGATATCAAATTCTGTTCACTCCTTAAGGACAAAATGTCAATTCCTGAAACAGTGCTTTTCATTAGGGTTTCTCCACCTTACTTTTGTTATTATTTTTTAGGACAGGGGCTCGCTATGTTGTCCAGCCTGGCCATAAACTACGTAGCCTAGGCTGGCCTTGAACTCACAACAATTCTTCTGCCCTAGCCCACCAAGGGCTGGAATTACTGATGTCCACTTTGTTGCTACTGACATTTTAGATGATCCTTTGTTGTCAAGGGCTGCTTAAGTGCAACAGTCATTATTAAAAACTGAATTACAGGGCCAGGGATTTAGCGCAGTGGCATCTCACCTGCCTCACAAGCACAAGGTTGTTTGATCCCCTGTACCCACCCCTTAAATTGAATTACACAAAAAAGTATTTAAATGCATTGTTGGTCTCTTAGCACTAAACACTAATAGAACCTTCACACAACAAAAAATGTCTCCAGGCATAAACAAACGTTCACTAGAAAGGGGGCAGGACTTCCTCTTCTTGTGCAAGGCAAGGCCCCCAGGGCAGCTCTGGCACTGAGAGCCTGAATAATTCACCAAATGTTCATAATTAACAAAACAAAAAAACAAATGTTCACTTGAATCAAAATCACCCCCAGATGGGAACTACTGCCAGAATTTCAGCAAGTCCTCTCCATTACAGTAGACTAATACAAAATATTCTTTAAGAGCTAGAACTAATGTACAGTGAATTGCATTTCAAGGGCAGAGAAAATTATAGACTTGCAAAAATTATCTCTCCTAGGAGTGATTATTAAAGTTCCTTTCATTTTGCTGATACTACTTGTGTTAGGTTCTGCAACAAGTGGCTTAGGCACTTTATCTCACTGCCTCTTCGCAACAAATGCAGGAGTACAAACATATTCTGCAGTGTTACAAAGTTGCTTTCTGCTTTCCTATTTGAACTTCTCCATGGTATCTAATATTGACAAAGGTGATGTATAATCAAATAATTATATATTTTTACATACATTTAAATTTACTATTAAAAAACAAATAGGCCAGGCATGGTGGTGCATGCCTGTAATTCCGGCACTCGGGAGGCTGAGGCAGGAGGATTGAATTTGAGGCCAGCCTAAACTATATAGTGAGACCCTGTAAAAAAACAAAACACAACAACAACAAAACAAATATAAAGGCTGGAGTGGAAGACTGTTATAAAGAGGAATACAAGAAGATAATATTTGGGTTTTGTTTTTGCAGGGCAGAGCATAATCCAAGGGGCTCCAGCCTGCTTGGAGGCTGCTCTTTACAGAGCCCCACCCAGCTCTGAAGGGAAACATTGGAGCCTCAGGGTTTTCACTGATGGCCGACCAAAGAGGAAGATGACACTGCGTAGAGGGAATGGGGCTTGGGGAATGGCAGAGTGGTTTTCTGGGCATGTACTGAAAACACGAAGACAGGCAAGGTGTTCTAGACACTGATTTGGACAGCAGAAAACTAAAGTCCAGCTTGATGAGGAAGAGGAGGCTGTAAGTCAGTAAGATATCTGCAAAGGGAACATGGTGCTACAATACACAAGAACTGAGAAACTGGAAAGACGGAGAGACAGTGAGGGACTCACTTGATTTTGGACACATACGTGAGGACATAGTTTAAGCAGTGGAAAGTCAGATGAAGCAACTTTTTGCTGCACGTCTTCATCCAACTTCTTAATTAGAAACAAAAGATCAGTGAGACTCCAGAAACCAAGATTAGACTTCCTTTGGACAGCAACTACCATTAGGTAACAGCAGTTTACTAGCATTAAAAGTTACACGCTTGGGCTAGGGATTTAGCTCAGTGGCACTGTGACTGCCTTGCAAGCCCACAGTCCTGAATTTGATTCCCAGTACCAAAAAAAAAAAAAAAAGGGACATGCTTAATTTATAGGCCACCTATAATTCCAGCACTAGGAAGGCTGAGGCAGGAGTATGCCCTAAATTCAAGGCCAGCCTGGGCTACACAGTGAGCCAGTCTGACTACACAGCAAGACTTAGTCTCAAAAACAAAAAACAAAATGGGGGGTAGGGGGCAGATTTTAAGAGACTAAACTGGGAGTTAATACTAAAGAAAGAGAAGCCAGGCATGGTGGCGCATGCCTGTAATCTCAGCACTCGGGAGGGTGAGGCAGGAGGATTGCTGTGAGTTTGAGACCAGCCTGGGCAACACAGTGAGTTCCAGGTCAGTCTCAACTACATAGTGAGACCTTGTCTCAAAAAACAAAACAAAAATTTTAAAACATTTAAAAAAATAAAGAAAGGGAGGCAATAAAACCAAGAAGAGAATCAGAGCAGCTGGAGGCAATCACTTCTCTGTAAATGAACAAGATTCCACAGATGAGTTTCTAAAAGTAAACTAAATAGCTTTTCTTTTTTACTTTGAATCTAGGAGAATCTGTTCCCACACATAAATACACCAAATCTCTTTTTACCTTAGTAGTGAAATCCAGTGACCCATTGCTTTTCTTTTCTCAATGTACCCTTTTTTCCCAGGACCGGAGACTGAACCCAAGGCCTCCACATCCCCAGACCTTTTTGTTCCTGTTCATAGACAGGCCTTGCTAAATTGCCCAGAGTGGTCTGGAATTTATTCCCCTCCTTAAACCCCCACTTCACCGGGACTGCACAAACACTCTTTTTGTAATCTCTGTGATACTACTAATTCCTTGTCTTCTGGTTTTTTGGGATATGTCTTCTGAGTCACAGAAAACTTTCTATTTCTGAAAAGTTCCTATTTTGTATTACTGCAGCCTCCTTCTACTCATTTTTCTTGATTTCTCTTGGTCTAGGTAGGGAAATTCTTTGAAGCCATCTTTCTTTCCAATTAGTAATTCCTTTATCATTGTTCCCAATATGCATATCATATCTAAGTCCAGGTAGAGAGTAGGGCAATTTTGCTACTGTCTTAATAAAAATATAGGCTTTATTTATTTCTTCAGTGAATTTCCTGATTCCTAGTATACTATCTGGTCAAAGTAGGCCTCTAAAATCTAATGTAAGAGAAGTTGCATTTCCTTACACACACACACACACACACAGAATAAATGGCTCAAACTCCAGAAACTTCATGCAAATTTACACAAATGAAAATTATTTTTCTTTTCTTTTCTTTTTTTTGGTTATTTTAGATAGTGTCTTGCTATGTAGTTCAGCCTGGCCTTGAACTCACTATGTAGCCCAGGCTGGCTTCGAACTCAGGGTAATCCTCCTGCCTCAGCCGCCCAAGTACTGGTATTACAGGCACGCACTACCATGCCCAGCTCTTTCCTTTAAATGAATGGATAGATTAATTTGATCAATTTGGCATATAATTATTTATACAGTGAAGGCAAAAAACTTATGAACTTATTAACTTATAAAAAGTTTATACTCGTTTTTGGAAAGAGATCCTGTTTTTGAATAATCTATTAGAAAAAAATGAAATGATTAACCAACACAAAAAATCAGGATTGGGTAACTACAGTTTGATTGAAAAGTTGATGAAGAAACTTACGATATCGTCTGTGCTATTGCTCCAGCAACACCACCACAAAGTAAATTTATGTGAGTTTTCAAAACTAACACATTAGGATTGTCTGATGAAGGTCTGCCAAGAAGGGTGGGAGCGTGGGAAAGCCCAACACTCTTTAAGGTACCAAAAGTAAAAAATGAAACACCTGCAAAACAAAATATAAATTCAGCATGATGCTTAGTTGAATGTGAGCTGTGAAAGACACCTCTTATGTAATAACCAACTCACTCCAGAACTGACTCTGCGCGCCCTAATTGTGGCTGCTTGGCTTAACATATAAAATCTCTTAGTTAATGTTTATTAACACTAACGATGGCAAAACGGACACAAGAATTTAAGCATCAATTTTCACACACTAATATGTTATACATTGAAGGGGGCACAGTCAAGGTACTGCTGCCTTATAGATGAGTAGAATTCAACAATTTCCCCAAGTTTCACATAAAGTAAAATTAAATTCATGATTAGTAACTACAATATAAGGATTTATATTTACTTTTTTAAAATTTTTTTATCTTTTTTTATTTTTTTATTTTTTTATTTTTTGGCACCAGGGATCGAACTTGGGTCCTTGAGCTTGTGAGGCAGGCAGCGGAACCACTGAGCTAAATCCCTGGTCCCAAGGATTTATATTTACAACAGTGACAGTGATAATGTAAGATAGGCAAAAAATTCCGATGACAAAGCATTCTGATTTTAACTCAAAGTCTAATTTTGTCTTCAAAGAAGAGTGACCATGGGAGAAAAGTTCACATAGACTCATAAGACTCCCTGAACAGAATACCTGAAAAGCAGTTGGTGCCTGCAAAACACTTACATGACTTCTACATAGAATAAAGTCATAAATCAAAAAGAAAACAATAGTTCAAGCCATACCTGGTGGCACAAACTTATAATCCTAGTACTCTGGGAGGCTGAGGCAGAAGGATAGCAAGTTTGAACCCAGCCTGGACAGCTTACTGACTTAGTGAGACCCTGTCATGAAATTTAAAAATTATACAAGGGCTATGGATGTAGTTCAGTGAGAAGACCTGGGGTTGAATCCCCAGTACCATGGAAAGGAAAAGGATAAACAAGTACCAGCAAATATTCAGCCCACCCTAGGCAAACACTTCCATATAAGCATTTCCTTTTTTATTAAGGCAATAGCGACTGAACCCAGGGCATCACACTGAGTTCATCTCCAGCATTTTTAATTTTTTATTTTGAGACAGGGTCTCACTAAGTTGCCAAAGCTAGTCATGAATATGCGGTCCTCCTTAGCTTCCCAGTTACATCAGAGGCACAGAGAAACTCGCCCAGCTTGCATTTCTTCTTTATAATAAATCCATATAACCTATAGTACTTTAATATTATTTATAATTTTAGAATACTCATATACTTTTATATTTACAGAAATTGTTCTAAGGACTTTAAAAGTTCATTATAAGGAAATTCATAGAAAATTAATTAGAAAAAAATCAGATACACTTAAATGAGCCAGGTATGGTGGCACATGCCTGTGATCCCAGCACTCGAGTGGCTGAGGCAGGAGGATTGCCCTGAGCTTGAAGCCAACCTGGGCTACACAGTGTGTTCAAGGCTGGCCTGAAATACTTAAATGATGTGGTCTTCAATATAATGTAATCTAACTAATAATAACTATATTTGTGATGAATATTTAAAATGTAAAAATATCTGGAAGATGGGAAAAAAATTAAGAAATAAATTTGTAGATATAACTATGTAATAAAGAAAAAAATTTTTTTTTGATACCAGGGATCAAACTTGGGACCTTGCACTTGCAAGGAAGGCAGTGGCACCAAGCTAAATCCCTGGCCCTGTAAAAGTATTTTTTAAAATAGAGGAGCAGTTTCGTGTGGTAGTGCATGCCTATAATCCTGCACTTTAGGCAAGAGGATTGTCTTGAGTTCAAGGCCAACCTGGAACACACAGTTAGACCCTGCCTCAAAAAAAAAAAAAAAAGAACAAAGAAAGAAAAGAAAAAAAAACAAGGGCCAGGGATTTAGCTCAGTGGCACTGCACCTGCCTCACAAGTGCAAGGTCCTGAGTTTGATCCCCAGCACCAAAAAAAAAAGAAAAGAAAAGAAGCGAGGAGGAGCCAGGTGTAATGACAAACACCTATACTCTCAGCAAATTGGGAGACTGAGGCAGAAGGATGTTGATTTCAAAACCAGTCATGGCAACTTGGAGAAGTGTTTTAAAACAGCTGGGCTATATAGCTCAATAGTAGAGTGCTTAAGTAGCAGGCATGAGTCCCTAGGGGCATCTTAAGTATAAGGAAAGAAAAGGACTGGTGAGGATTGGTATAAACCTGTAGTTCCAGCTACTTAGAAGGCTGAGGTGGGAGGATTATAAATTCAAGGAGCAATTTAGATGCCCTCTACAAAATGGGGCAGGGGAGCCGGGCATGGTGGCAGGCACCTATGATCCTAGCACTTAGGAGGCTGAGGCAGGAGGATCACCATCAGTCTGAGGACAGCCTGAGCTACACAGTGAGTTCAAGATCAGCCTGAACTACATAGTGAGACCCTGTCTCAAGAAATAAGGGGGGAAGGGGGCCAGGAATTTAGCTCAGTGGTTCTGCTGCCTGCCTCCCAAGCATAAGGTCCCGAGTTCAATCCCCAGTACAAAAAAAAAAGCAATCACTCCAGCAACAACCTTACCCTACCTCCCCAAAATACAGCAAGAGGCACGTGAGGTGACTCTCCAGGGGAACAATGCCCATGAGATGGGACCTGCTAAGGCTAAGGCTCAGAATCTGAAACTCCTGGATAGAGTCTAATCCTCACCATAAACTCATAGCAGAAGCTGAATGAATAGTCTCTGGAAGGAAGCATTCCTGGGTTAAACATCTGAGTACTTAGTGTTCAATAACAAGCAATGAACTCCCAATCCAAAACCACCCAGCACCCTAGCAAAGTGGCACACACCTTAATCCTCACGAACTGGGAGGCCAAGGCCAGAAGACTGCAAGTTCAAGCCCAACATAGGCAACTTAGTGAGACCCTGTCTCAAAAATTAAAAAGGGCCAGGACGATCACTGTGAGTTTGAGACCAGCCTGGGCTACATAGTAAGTTCCAGGGCAGTCTGAACTACATAGTGAGACCCTGTCTCAAAAATTAAAAAGGGCCAGGACGATCACTGTGAGTTTGAGACCAGCCTGGGCTACATAGTAAGTTCCAGGGCAGTCTGAACTACATAGTGAGACCCTGTCTCAAAAAAATAAAATAAAATAAAATAAATAAATAAATAGTATTCTGGATGAAATAATTAAGTGAAAACAATTTGGCAGCTAAGGACTTGGCTCAATGGTTTAGGGCAGTGGTGGCGAACCTATGGCACATGTTACTATTTGCTTTTCTTTTAAGACAAAAGATGTTAATGTATATGTTGTTTTTTCTAAACTAAAACCTCAGTATTCAAGTTCACTTGCAGCATTGGCACTTTGGATAAATAAGTGGGCTTGGGGGTTGCAATCTGGGTATTTGTCTCTAAAAGGTTCGCCATCACTGGTTTTGGACTGGCCTGGCATGCCTAGTCCCCCAGCACACACGCTGCACACACTCTAGGAATGAGGGCAGAGAGAGTAACTTAAAGAACAGATGAAATAAGAGTGTCCATAAATAGCCATTGTTGGGCCAGGCATGTTGGTACCATGCCTGCCTGGCAAGCACAAGGTCCTGAGTTTGATCCCTGGTACAACAACAAAAAAGAAAAAAGAAAAAAAATTGGCCATTGTTGAAGGTAGGTGATTGGCATGGTGGTTCACTTCCTATTGTCTCTACTTCCACATTTTGAAATTTTCTAAACATTAAAAAAAAAAAACTGACAAAGCAGTTGGAGTAGAATTTAGAAAACAAACATGCTTATGATAGGAAAAGACATTGAAAAGTAATGAAATACGCAGTTTAGGACAGCAGCGGAATAAGAAAGGAACTGTGGTGTACACCTGTACTTCCTGTGATCCTGGAGGCTGAGGTAGGGTGATCCCAACTTAGGGCCAGCCTGGGCAACTTAGCAAGACTTTGACTCAAACTGAAAAACAAAACAGAGAGCCACGCATGGTGGCGCACACCTGTAATCACAGCACTCGGGAGGCTGAGGCAGGAGGACCGCTGTGAGTTTGAGACCAGCCTGGGCTACATAGTGAGTTCCAGGGAGGTCTCAACTAGTGAGACCATTTCAAAAAAACAGGAAAAAAAAAGGAGCCAGGTATGCTGGTACACACCCATGAGGCAGCAGAATAGCAGGTCAAACCCTGCCTGGTCAAGTTATCAATTTACTGAAATCCTGTCTCAAAAGTTTATGCCTGTAACCCCAACAGGTGGGAGGCTGGGGTGAGAAGACGGCCATGAATTCAAGGCCAGCCTGAATTATATAGTGAGAACCAGTCTCAAAAAACAAAACTAGCCAGGCGTGGTAATGCACACCTGTAATCCCATCACTAGGGAAGCTGAGGAGGAGGATCATTGTGAATTTGAGGGTAGCCTGGGCTACACAGTGAGCTCAAGGCCAGCCTGGACTACAGAGCCAGACCTTGTGTCAAAAATAAATAAAATAAGCAAATTGAGCTGGGTGTGGTGGTGCATGGCTATACCTAGCTCTCTGCAGAACAGGAGGCAGGAGAACTGCCAGGAGTTCGAGGCCAGTCTGTGCTACCATAGTGAGTTCAAGGCCAGCTGGAATATAAAGTAAGACCCTATCTTAAAAAAATATAGCAAATTGAATCCAGCTAGATATAAAGAGATCATTATAACCAGTTTGTAGTGACTCCAAATTTATTTAACATTAAAAGCTCTAGAAATGTAGGCCGGGCGTGGTGGCACATGCCTGTAATCCCAGTACTTGGGAGGCTGAGGCAGGAGGATCGCTGTGAGTTCGAGACCAGCCTGGACTACATAGTGAGTTCCAGGTCAGTCTCAACTACATAGTGAGACCCTGTCTCAAAAAAACCAAAAAAAAGACTTTTGGTGTTTGAAAAGGGTCAAGGACTTCTGAGAGACTGTTTGCGGAGTGCTTTCTTCGAGTTAACGTTTGTTTCTCCCTTCTGTTCAGAAGTTTGCTCAGAACCATGGCCAAATACTCCAACGTAAAGTCCACCACCAAACTCGTGCTCAAGGGAACGAAAGCCAAAAGACAGGGTATCGCTGTGTAGCCCGGGCTGGCCTCAAACTCACGCTCCTCCTGCTGCAGCCTCCAGAGTATTGGAATTACAGTCTTGGAGTGCCAGGCCTGACTAGTTTACTCTGCTTCTGAAAACATACTTTCTGATTAAAACGCAGTAAGAAGAAAAAGAAAGAAAAGAAGAGAAAAAGAGAAGAGGATGATGAAACCCAACTTGATATTGTTGGAATGTGGTGGACAGTAGCCAACTTTGGTGACATTTCAGGAACTATCACCACTGAAATGGATAAAGGAACCTATATCCATGCACTTGACAATGGTCTTTTTACTCTGGGAGTGCCACATAAGGAAGTTGATGAAGGTCCTAGTCCTCCAGAGCAGTTTACTGCTGTTAAATTGTCTGATTCCAGAATTGCTCTGAAATATGGCTATGGAAAATATCTTGGTATCAATTCAGATGGACTTGTTGTTGGGCGATTGGATGCCATTGGACCAAGAGAACAATGGGAACCAGTATTTCAAGATGGGAAAATGGCCTTATTGGCCTCAAATAGTTACTTTATTAGATGCAATGAAGCAGGTGATATAGAAGCAAAAAGTAAAACAGCAGGAGAAGAAGAAATGATAAAGATGAGATCCTGTGCTGAAAGGGAAACGAAGAAAATAGATGAAATTCCAGAAGAAGACAAAGGGAATGTAAAACAGCGTGAAATCAACTACATAAAAAAATTTCAGTTTCCAGGACCATAAACTTAAAATCAGTAAAGAAGACAGTAAAATTCTTAAAAAGGCTCGGAAAGATGGATTTTTACATGAGACACTTCTGGACAGGAGAGCCAAGTTGAAAGCTGATAGATACTGCAAATGACTGGGATTTTTCTTTGTTTCTGCTTACTCCTTTTATTTTCTCTGAATAAAATATGCAGTGATAGTGCTTTTACAGAGTTAAAAAAAAAAAAGCTCTAGTAATGTCATTTACCACATTAACAGATTATCTCCGTAAACACAGCAAAGGGTATCTGACAAAACCCAACACCAGTGGACACGCAAGTTAACACTAGAGTGTTAGCAGGCCAGGGATTTACCTCAGTGGTGCTACGCCTACCTTGAAAGTGCAAAGATCTAAGTTCGATTTCTGGTACCAAAACAAAAAATACACTTACAGCATTACCTAGAATGCCCATGGTCCTTGCTCTGATCCTCAGCTCCCCAAGAAACAGTTAAAAAAAATTCAACATCAGTCTGAATTTTGAAAATGTCATTTCTTCCCTTCTGTGTGTGAGGTGCTGGCAATGGAACCCAGGGCCTTGGAAATGCGTGGCAAACACTTTAACACTGAGGTACTGAGATGCTGAGGTGTTGAGCAGCACCCCAGTCCTCAGATAAAATTTGAATCAACTTCTCAATCTAATAAATGCTATATTCTTTTTTCCTTTTTTTGGTACCATGAATCAAACTCAGGACGTTATGCTTGCCAGGCAGGCACAGTGCTACTGAGCTATATCCCCAGATGCAATAAATGCTATATTCTAAAACCTATACCAAATATACTAAATGAAGCATTCCCTTTAAAGTCATCAATGTCCCAGTACTCTTGAAGGCTGACACAGGAGGACCTCCAAGTTCAAACTCAGCCTGAGCTACTCAGTGACTTAGTAGGACCCTATATCAAAACAAACATTTCTAAAACAAGGGTGTGAGTAGGGTTTGTAGTTCAGTGTGAAGGCATGGATTCAACCTGCAGTACTACTAAACAAAAAGAAAAATCAACAATAAATCAAAGTGTCTGTTACCATTATTTCTTTTCTCATCTGTTATCATCATTTCTTTTCTTTTTTTTTCTTTTGACATAAGGTCTCCCTATGTTGCCCAGGCTGGCCATGAATTTAAGATTCTTCTGCCTCATTCTCCCAAGTAGATGGGACAAGCACGCACCAACGTGCATGGTTCATAGTTATTAGTTCTATGCATTGCTGCCAAGAAGGAAGCACTGAAGGGAAGGGAAGGGAAGAAAAGTGCTGTTATTTGCACATAACAAATCCAAAGCAAGTATAGGTAACATGGTGCTGGTTATAATGGTATCAACAGGAGGAAAATGGCCAGCTATAATATCATAGAAAACTAAATAAAATAATAAGCTGAAAGCATAAGGTATAAAAGACACAACAAAATTAGTACAGGATTTACAAATACAGCTAGCTAACAAAAATGTCCAAGATTGGGCAGGGGATTTAGCTCAGTGGTCCCACTTGCCTGCCTCACAAGCGCAAGGTCCCGAGTTCAATCCCCATATCCACCCCCAAAAAATGTCCAAGACTTGTTTGAAATTCCATGCAGAATCCTAAGAAGGATTTTTGTGCAACATGAGGAGCTTTTCTCTGCAGTACTTGGGACTGAACCTAGGGCTTTCATACTGAGCTATATCCTTACCCATTTTTTATTTTAAATTTTGAGACAGGGTCTTGACAAGTTGCTAAATTGCCCAGATCGAGCTTGCATTTACCATCCTCCTGCCTCAGTCTCCCAGACTTCTGGGAATACAGGCATCTGCAACCATGTCTGGCTTTTACTGCTTGTCTTTGGATTTTTTTTTCCTTTTTTGAGACAGGGTCTCCCTGGGTGGTTCATGCCACCCTCTAACTCACAGTGATCCTCCTGCCATGGTTTCCCTAGTGCTGGGAATACAGGCATGTACCACCACACCTGGCTTGTTTATGAGTTTTTGAGATGGGGTCTGACTATGTACTCTTGGTTGGCACTAAACTCACTATGTAGCCCAGGTTGGCCTCAAATGTTGAAATCCTTCTGCTTCAGCCTCCCAAGTGCTGAGATTGTAGGCTTTTACCAACACGCCTGACTAAAAGCTACTTTTTTAAAAAGTATAGATAGAAAAAAAACTAAAAAAAAAGGAATAGGGCTGGGGATTTAGCTCAGCGGTTCGGTGGCCTGTCTTGCAAGCGCAAGGACCTCTTGACATTTATGAAAAGAGAGAAGTATAAGGTAAAGGATTGTTCTTGTAAAATGTGAGGACTCACTGGGACCAAAAATTTAGCTCAGTGGTACTGCACCTGCCTTGCAAACACAAGGTTCAATCCCCAGGACAAAAAAAAAAAAAAAAAAAAAAAAAAAAAAAAAAA